TTATATGACTACTTAACCTTAATGTTATTTTGTATTGCTATAGCATGTCTGTTATGGTCATCTTTTATATTTTGTTTATGAAGGTTTAAAACAGCACAGTTTATTTATGAAACTAGCTTTCATCCCCATAATGTCACATCAATGTCACTGGGATAAAGCCTGGTTTCTTGGAGATGATGGAAGGCTTCATGTGTACGAAGGACATTGTAGTAACCTGCTTATCCACATTCCCACAGTGTAGAGTCTATAGATGTCTACGAGTGGCCTGTGTCAATGGGCTTTGGGCTTGTGTTGATGGCACCAGTTTAAGATCAGTTCAATTATCTTCTGAGACCATTTAGAATTCACCAACAGGTACATTTGACTTGCAGTTGACCTGCTTTCATAGGAAGCAAAATATATCTGACACAAGCAAAACCCTAACGACACAGGAACTAGAAAGATGAAAATTTATAGGGAGCTTATGTATAAGCTTGCAAACAAGATAATTTATTCTACTAACCCAGTGTTTCTCAACCTTTTTTCAGTCAAGGCACCCTTTAAAATTATGGCCAGTCCAGAGGCACCCTTTAAAATTATGGGCTGTCTTGAAGCACCCCATTACAAAATAGGGTGCCTCTAGACTGTCCACAATTTTAAAAGGGCATCCCATTCTAAAATGTAAAAAACTATTCTAATAGTTTTATACAATGCAGCAACATCCACACATGTAGGACACCCAACATTTGAGGGGATTTATTTTTCCAAAGCAAATACACTTTTGCACACTGGTACTGACTAGTATTCCAATGTTTCTCTTTTCCCTCGGTTTTCTCCATCACTGAGCTAATGTGACCACAGCGGTGATGGAGAAGGGCAGGGGAGGGGCAAACTAGGATGCTGTGCAGGTAATTGCCATTCTGCTTATCCACTGATGAGGTCATTGGTTGTCATGACACTCGGTGGCTAGAAGGTTGTAATGGTGCACAATGAAAACCTGTGGCTTTGTGTAACTAAAAGGCAGGCTTGTTCCACCCACTGGCTTGTATACAAGTTTTGGGTAATTTTTAGACATTTTGCCAAGGCACCCCTGAAAAAACCTCAAGGCACCCCAGGGTTCTTGGACACCCTGGTTGAGAAAGGCTGTACTAACCAGTTAAATACTTTTTCAAACTATGGACTGTAGAAATTGCAGTTGTGAATTGACTGGTTGTTATGAGCAATAAGAAATGTTCTTGCTGGGGGCCCTTGTACCAGGAGTTTCAAGCAGTGGAGGTTCAGGGCACAGAACTGTGTGTAATTATATGGTATACTCATCCCTTGCACTGTTCATACCCACCTGTTGATTTGTGGGGGTTACTCTTTAAATTGTTGGTAACTATGAATATTGTTGTGGCTTTAATTAAACATATTCACAACAAAAAACTTGTTACATTGGAGTTGATTTAGTAAAACCGGAGAAAGCAAAATCTGGTGCAGCTCTGCATAGATACCAATCAGCTTCCAGATTTTTTTTGTCAAAGCTTAAATGAACAAGCTAGAAGCTGATTGACTATCATTCAGAGCTGTACCAGCTCTCCAGTTTTAATAAATCAACCCCATTGTGTTAGGTCATCTTTTTGCATGCAGATGAAACACAAAGGATAAATGTAGGTAAGGGAGGACAGCATTATTTAATGAAAAGTGAAAAATAAAAATATAGCCATGATCCACGGCGCTTCCAGGGGCATAGCTGCAATGATTAGGCTGTGACAGGTTTTGAAGCCACCCACACACTTCAGCTGTCACCTTTTGTCAGCTACTGTTATCAGCACAGATTTTGCTGGAGGAGGCTCTTGATTGTCCAGGATTCTGGACACCAAAGAAAGGGAGTAGACTTTACAGTGGACTGCATAGTGGTGAGAGGCCACTGGCCCCAATTGCATTACCATTCTTCTTGTTCAAATATTTTATTGATTTAATGTACAACAAGATAGGTTATAAGTAACCAAATGGGACATTGGAAGTGTACAGTAAATGAACAGTAAAGGTTCCCATTAATACAAGTCAGGCAGCACTAACATGAGTGAACAACGACTATCGAATAAAGCCTGACAAGAAGGGGAGGGGGGAAGAAAGGATAGAGTAGGGCGTACGGCTCCAAGGAAGGGGGATAAGGAGAATAGCCAAATAACCGCAATATCAGCAAGGGATGGTTCCAGTAAAGCAGAAAACATAGATTATGGGTTGAGAAGGAAATCGTCAAAATTGGATGGGAGGAAATGCTCCACCCAGGGGTTCCAAATCTTTTTAAACTTGAGGATGGAATCTAGGATAGTGGCTTCTGTTTTTGCGTGGATCATTGCCTGAGTGACCCTAGTCATAACTGCAGTCATACTCAGTGAGGGAGATTTCCATGATTTAGCGATAACCTGCTTGGCCGCAGTGGTGACTTGTAGAATGAGTTTCAAATTTGCCTTCGTAATGTCTGGTGGTCAGTGATTGAGAAGCGCAACTAGCATTACCATTCTTTTAAAGGGAAAGCACCATCCTAATTCAGCCTTTAGTAAGGGGATTTACACCCTTTACTGTTGGCATACAAATTTATTTGAGCACTCCAGTGCAGATCTTTGGCCCCCAACACTAGTCAATGTCTTATACCACACTGGTCAGGGTGAGGGGTTATAGACAGATTCTAAAACTTTTAGCCTCTAAATGAGTATCACCTGTATTTAGGGCATCCCTAGAGTCAGGGTTCAGGTACCCTGAGGATTTCAGTCCCAAAATACTGGGTTCACACTTTGTTATTGCTGTATTGCTGCCCAATGGTAGTGAGAGCAAAATCACCACTCTGGCCTGAGTGTAGTTCTGGATGTCCCTGGAGTCACCTGAGAAGAAGAACAAATCCATCAGGAAGTGGTGGTCTTAGCCTCAGAACAATGAGTTTTTGTGTTGAATTTCAAAGTGGACCAGGTAAACTCCTGCACCTACACACTGTTAGGGTGTATGAGAGGAACCCAGACTATTTCCAAAGGGCTAATCTATAACTGACCAACAGCATCATGGCTGGTATAGTCCAACTGCGGATGCTAAGCATCAACCCACAAGTCAGGCAATGTTGATAGAAAGGGCTTCTGTATCAACAAACTAAGTTACCATATGGACCGAGTTCTTCACTGCCATGGGAGATTTCATGGCCAGGTGTAATCAGGCTAGCGCTGTCCATTCAGGAGCAGACTACAGAATGTTAAGACTCTTCTCTGGGACACAGCCAGTGCCCACAGGATAAGAAGATGAATAGAACTAGCTGCACAGGCTTTGGAAGAATGGGATGTTTCAGAAGTTCCAAGAAAGCAAGGGATCACTGAGAGCTTAAGAGGAGCTGCTGCGGAGGCCATCAGAAAGTTTAAACTCAGTAAGAAGACTTGTACAATTTAAGATTACCTTTGCATGCTACAAGAGGAATTTTTGTGAAAGGAGAAAACTTTTGACCTGATTTATTAATCTGAGCATGTGAGTGAATGACCAAGTGTATCAGATGACTGAACAAGATGCTGTATCAAATTGTCTAAAGAAAGGAATGGATCATGCAGGTGTAGATTGAGCCAGAATAAAGCAGTTTCTTAAACATATCCTAAATTGTGATTCAATCTAGATCCAGTTGAAGACTTTTGGAAACAGACATTGGTAAGGTATCCTGAAAACCTTAAGGTATAAATAAAGGCAAAACATTTTTTAGTTTTGGATCAAGTGGAGATGGATTAGAACATCTGTTTTTGCTGCTGAAAACAAATGAGCAACAAAGACAAGTGCCATCTGAGTGCAGTGAGTAAATAAAAACAGGTTTTATTATGCTGTTGTAGCAACTCTTCGAACTGAAATACTGAAGGCCTCCGGGTGTAGTGGGGAAGCGAACGTGACATCACTCATGTTGTGGCATGGATATGGCTGCACATTTGCGGAACATGCAAGCTCCTTCTTCAGGCCTGGCTATACCTACAGACCTTTGAAGGTTTTTCCTCCATCTATGCCATATCAGTTCTTTTTGTTAGGTTTTTACTGCTGTCTGTATCCTCATTTGGAGATTCAACATCTCTATTTGTCCTGTTCACCATTATCATTGAAAGTGAAAGAAAATCTAAAATTTTGGGTTGTCCCCAAAAAAGTGGAGGGGAATCTTCCAATGGGGACACTAGTTCTGGTGACCTGGGGGACCCCAAGGGATTCACTTAATTTGCAAGGATTTCCTCTCATTTCCTCTTTTGGCTATAGGACAGGAAGTGAAGGTGATTCTTCCCAATGAGAAACATATGGCAAAAAACTGACAGGGGTTATAACCCTCCTTTATTTAAAATGAAAACAAAAATGTGTTTTCATCCGTCCACTCATAGAGCAGATTGGGCTGTACCGTGTCTGCTCTGCATAAACTGGGCAAACACAGACCTATCATCTGCCTGCTCTGTTCTACTCTGATCAGCAGGGGTTCAGTGGATAGATCCCCTGCTGATCGAATCAGAGTCCGCCCCATGTGAAGGAACAAAGGACTAGGAAAAATAGATGCAAAATGGTATGTACTATATACTAAAAAATGTGGTAATAAGGGCCCAAGGAGGGGTGTAGGATTTGTGCCCACCCTGAAGTTGGAACTTAAATGGAGGTTGCTTAAAAAAAATTGGATAAAATTGTGAGAAGTGATTGGATACTCTAGGGCTTGTTCCATTAGATTTTTAAAACAACTGTTTATGCACGTGATCCCCAAATGGAGGAAAGACTAGAAGAAGAGGAAAGAGAACACGGAATATATATGTTTATACACCACTTGACTTTTTCCCTTGGAAAGACATATATCTTATCCCAGAAGTGGGGGGATGGCTGAGTAATACCTGCCTTCGTTTAAGTATTTTAATAATATTGTTTATTTATATAAGTAAAACATACAAAGTACCTAAAACTGAATCAGATTCAAATATGAAACTTTTTATAAACAGGCACTTAAATTAGGCATTTTAGCTGTACAGATACAGTTTCAAATGTTTTCTTACCTGTGGCTTCTACAATGCCCTCTAATATGACAATAATTTCAAACTGCTCTCGTTTCAGAGACTCTGCAGACATTTCCCAGAAAGGGCTGTGATCATTTATGATGTGACAGATGATCTGAGGTTCCACCAAAAACAGACGATCCTCTCCAGTATCATAACCCAGGTTGATCTCCGATTGTTCCAGTGGAATAAATTCACCTTCCTTTGTCTGTCTGGATTTGATAAGTTTAGCTCTTATCTTGGCATCCACCATGTGACTATCCCGTAGATCTCCAATTCTGAACATCAAGCATAACTTTTCATCTCTGTGCGACACCACACATTTCTTACTAAAGATCAAAGTCTCGGCTCTCTTCTTAGGCCGAGAAATCTTTACAAACATACAGCCCACCATAAGTGCATCAATCATGGACCCTAGGATTGACTGAGCCATGATTAATATTACACCCTCCGGGCAATAGGCAGTTACCATTCTAGTGCCATAGCCAATCGTTCTTTGACTTTCAACAGAGAAAAGTAAGGCAGAAAGGAAGGAGTCAACATTATCAATACAAGGTTTCCACTCAGGATCCCCGATGTGATTCACGTCATCTCTAAGCAAGGCGTCCACAAAATAAATAAATCCAAATGCAACCCAGGTGACAATGTAACATAACATGAATACAAAAATGAACCAGCGATATTTTAGATCCACAATGGTAGTAAAAATATCTGATAAAAACCTCTTCTTTTCATCAATGCGTCCTAGGTTCACCCTACACTTCCCATCCTTGGTGACATACCTCTGACGTGTTTGACGATTAGTGAGGTTAAAGAGTTGACGGTCATCATACATGAGCTTACAACGAATCCTGTGTGATTTAGTAGTGGCTGGAGCTGAGACAACACTACGGGTTGGAGTTTTACTTCGCAAGGGAATATTTGGAACGCTAAGGGCATGTTTGGAATTCCATTTTGAGCTGCTTTCCTGAATAGGTGTCTCCTGCTTGGCAGCTCGTTGGTATCGGGGTAAGTCCTCTGTGTTAATAGTCACACTAGGCCTTTGCTTGGCAACTGGAGGGGGAGCACCAGTATTTGTAGGTTCTATAGAACTGAATCTCCTATGCCGAGTTCCTTTGACACTGTTGGTGTATGACAATGGTATGAAACTTGAGATGATGCCACCTTTTTTGGGTGGAGGTAATTCCAGTTTGTGCTGGTATTCATCACAAGATGTGGCAGAGACAACCATTGTTTCAGGCTAAATGAAAGCAAAGAAAACAGTAAATGAGATGTTACAGGAACAATATTTATAGCTAGCTTCCTAATAAACCCATGAAACAAGAAAATTCAGTTACTTACCAATATTAGTTTTGTTAAGACACAAACCCCCAAGGTCAGTTATATCATTTAGGATCCAACATACTGTTTATAAACTTTCTGCACTACAGGAGTATGGGCTAATTAAAAGAGAAGTGTAGTAAGTTAAAAAAAACAAACTTATATACTCACCTAGATGGATGCAGCACTGCTCTATACCCACTGCTGACTGCTCAATTCTTGGGTCCGCTCTGAGTACAGAGTGGTGACTGTCAGTCTCTGCTGTGTGCTCTGCCCCTCCATAGCTTGGACTGGTTCTGTGACATCAGCTGATAGCGGGCTTTAGCCGGCTTCAGCTGAATCTGGGTCACAGAAGTGCAGGAGAAGTATGGCAAAAAGAGCTTACTCCATACTTCTCCTTTAAAGTGTACCTAAACCTTGTTAGACCATAGATGTGATGGCTGCATATGTTCTTTTTTCTCTTTTTCCTTTATTTTCACCTGCTGACCAATGGGAGAATATTGGCCAAAGGAGCCTTGGCCATACTTCACCTTTACCCAAATGCATGCAACACTGGTGCTTTTCCCCAGTGAGCCTGACAACCTCACCCACTTGGCAGGGGATAACTTAGGAATGTTAGGATTACTACTTAAAGTGTACTGTACAGGGCGGACTGACCATTAGGAAACTCGGACACTGCCCGAGGGCCCGGGGTCAGTAGGGGGCCCCATGAAATGCCCTTAGTACCTTTCTCATAGGCTTTTTTGAGTTTGGGCAAGGACACAGGGGCCCCATGATCCCGTATTGCCCGGGGGCCCCATGAGTTGTCAGTCCGCCCCTGGTACTGTATATATACACAAAATTTTGGATACAATAGGAAAGGGTATATCTCCTGCCAGTTGAGTTATTGCTGTCTGTGTCCCTTTGATGAGAATTGCTTACACTGTCTGTTCCTGAAGTGAGACAAAATCTCTAAAGATTTCTGCCATGTCTACAACACACTTTAGGGAAATCCCATATGTTCTCTAAAGAAAGACTTGTAGATTTTCTACAGATAGAATAAAAGCATTTTATTTGGTCATTTAGGATGCATTGGGGTTGATTTACTAAAACTAGATGTGCAAAATTTGGTGCAGCTCTGCACAGAAACCAATGAGCTTCCAGGTCTTTTGGCAAAACCTAGTTGAACAAGCCAAAGTTAAAAGTTGATTGGCTACCATGCACAGCTGCACCAGATTTTGCTCTCTCCAGTTTGAGTAAATCAACCACAAAGTGTGTCTTGTGAAATTCATTCTAAAGTGCAATTGCAGAGATCTCTTGATGGTTACAGGTAGGGCTGAATTTAGTATTAGGTATTCACAGTTTTTTCCTGTAAGCAGTAGAAGGAAAGAGGCTACTTTTTCTTGTACAGTTATTGGGCATACATTTTATGTCCATTATCAGTAGAAATACAATCAGCTTCTATTATCTTATTTACACATTATCATAATATGCTAAGCAATGTTAGGATGTAAAACAAGAGGTGATTACAGTTGAGTGGCATTGCTTTGAGAGTTGAAGGTTGTGTGTGTACAGGCGCAAAGATACAAAATGCAGGACTGGTTACATACTAACATACTGTATGTGTGACTTCATATTAGGGATGCACCGATACCGAGTATTTAAATGAGTACTTGTACTTGTGAAAATACTACCGATATCTTAACCGATACTTTGTAGTGCAATTTGTGTTAATGTATAGAGAAAACCTTTTCTTCAAACTACTTAGTCCCATTCCTTAAATACAAAATAACCTAAATCAATTCAAAATAGTCCACTACAAGTCCACAACCAAACCGCCATCTAATCTAAGGGCATCTACCGCCGATTACCCCAAAATCCTATGAGCGGCTTTCTAAATGGACAATAAAACCGGATAACTATACTAACATATACAATATACATACCATTATATATATATTATAAAAACAATGCAATAAACAGATTAAAAACAATTTTTTTTTTTCTCTCTTTCTCCTCACGAGTGTTTTCTTGCATGGTATCACAATATTTGATTGTTGTTAAAAGTTAATGCACTATATTTAGTTTATTTCTTTTGAGGTTTCTTGGATTTGAAGTGATGAATGGGACAATTTTCAACGCTTGAAGACCTAATAATAGTGTGGACTTGTGGTGGACTATTTTGAATTGATTTAGGTTATTTTGCATTTAAGGAAGGGGACTAAGTAGTTTGAAGAAAAGGTTTTCTCTATCTATTTGTACTTTCAAGGGTGAAAGGTTTAATTTTCTTTGGGGATATTTAGAGAATCTGTTTTATAATTTGTGTTAATGGACCGAAAGTATCGGTTCTCGGAGTACTTGTCTGAAAGTATTGGTATTTGTACTAGCTGATAAAAAACCAGTATTGGTGTACCCCTGTAAAGTTATGCACATAAATAATATTGTTCCACTTGGAAATATTTTTCTATTGATTTGAAAAATATGTAATACAAAGGTAATTGTAGCCATATTAGTGCATTTGCGACAGAAACAATTGAGTACTGTCTGTGATACTTTTTTATTTGCACTAACATACAATTTTGAGGACAAGCTTTCGGGGAATGTCCCCTTCCTCAGTTCCAAGCAGTACTTATTCACTACTGCTTGGACCTGAAGAAGGGGACATTCCCCGAAAGCTTGTCCTCAAAATTGTTTGTTAGCGCAAATAAAATAAAAAAAGTATCACGGACAGTACTCAATTGTTTCTAATACAAAGGTAAAAAGTAATGAAAAGTAAACAGAAAATGCAATGCTTTACCTTCTGAGGAAAAGTTCCATATCTGTTGGTATCTGTAGGCGGCCTGGGAAGGTAGGCAAGCATATGCTTTCCTGTGGGTGTTTGAACTGGAGGAATGGAGTTTCTTCTGATTCGAGGGTCATCTACTTTCAGCCTGTTGTCATTGACATGATGATTACGCACGCAGGCCCCATTATCCTGCTGCAAGTCCATGCTGTTGCTAGGAACAGCAGATGCCATTGTGGGTCAGATGATGACCATATAGATTTAGGCAAGAGCATGGAACCTCCTCTCTTGAATCCTGTAATGGTAATCATGAGTAAGAATTAGTATGAACATAATCCCAGAGCTATATTAGGAGCCACTCTATTGTTTAAATCAAATACAAGAATAACACTGCCATACGGTTACATTGAAAAGGCCACTCAGGTTTTCGCAGATACCACAAAGTTTATTGTATTGCTAGAAACCTAGGTATAATCTGAAATTTATAAAGTGATAAAGAAATGTTTTATTGCAACTTAGGGAAAAACAATTTACTGAGTCAAGAAAGACTCAAGAACAGGATTTACTTTTCTTTTCTTTTTTTGTGAAAGATGGAGGAGATTGCTTGGTTGGAAGATTGTCTTCTTCTGCTAATGCTTAAATTATAGGCAAAATACAATAATCATTGCTGTAACGTAGTCTGTCTTTCACAATAACATAACCAGTAGAGTCTGGTAATTTTTAAAAAATGTATTATTGTTGTTATTTTTCTTTTTTTGGGCCAAATTGGTGTCCACTCTTACATATTTTGACGCTTATACTTTCTGCAGGAGAATAACAGTCGAATTCCATAAAATGCAGATTATTGTCTGCTTGGTAGTTATCATTTGTTATGGCAGCACAGTGGCTAAATGGTTGGTACTTCTGCCTGGCACTACTAGGGTCGTTGGTTCGAATCCCAGCCACGACACCTCCTGCCTGGAGTTTGCATGTTCTCCCTGTGCCTGTGTGGGTTTCCTCCGGGTACTCCAGTTTCCTCCCACACTCCAAAGACATGCTGGTAGGTTAATTGGATCCTGTCTAAATTGGCCCTTGTATATGAATGTGAGTTAGGGACCTTAGATTGTATACCCCTTGAGGGTTAGGGACTGATGTGAATGTACAATATATATGTAAAGTGCTGCGTAAATTGACGGCGCTATATAAGTACCTAAAATAAATAAAATAAATTGGTTATGTTGTCTACGTGGGGAAATTAATTGTTTGATTCAATTCTATATACAGTATATACTCTGCTGTTACAGACAATTTTAGAACTTTTACACAAATATCTTCGTATCTATGCTTATCTTAATCTGACTATTATTCATGGTGTTTGTAAGTGACATTGTAAATAAATATTAATTTATTTTCGATAGCCTCAATCTATACTTACACCAATCTTATCATGTTTTCTTTAAAGATTTCTGCTTGGCAAAATAATTCAAAATAATTAATTAGGTCAGATAAATTACTTTTAGAAATTATTTTTGTATTGAAGGCACTGTGGCTCAATCTATTTAGTTGACAAAAAGAATCGTACATTTCCTGACAACAAACTATGGAATATATATCTGATAATTGATTAAACTTGATGTACTGACGGCCAATCTAATTTCTTAAGGCCTGAAAATACCAGGACAGTACAAATATCCCCCCACTGACCACTTTTTGGAAAGTAGACCGTACAAGGTATTTAGTAGGAGGCATGTCAAGTTTTTTTTAAGTTGTAATTC